CCTCACATCATCTTTCAACATCTTGTGGAGTCACTGCCAAGAAGAATCGCCGCAGTATTGAAGGCAAAAGGTGGCCCAATGAAGTACTGATCCACAACAGTAGAAAATCTGGCCACTCATAATAATATATATCCCATGTTCAAAGGCTGTTAAATTGTGTTGTTTACCCATATCTTCAGAAAAAAATCACTTCTACTGTCGTGATAAACAACCTGCTTCCCTATCTGGCTCTCTAGCAACTTCAGAGCAAAATTATAGCTAATTTGCCTACAAACATCAGGTGGTCATAATAATCTGGCCACCTCAGTGTATATTTTAGAAATTAGCCCCTTATCAGAGGCCCGGTGCACAAATTTGTGCACGGGTGGAGTCCCTAGGCCTGGCTGGGGATCAGGGCCATCTTGCCCAGTCCCGATCGGGGGGAGGAACAAGGGGGAGGGATCGTGGGAGGGTTCCTGGTCAGCCCCAATGGGGCGATCGGGGTGGCCAACTGGAGGAAGGGGCTGGCCAGGGGGAGGGACCATGGAAGGTTGGCCGGCCGGGCAGAGGGACCTGCTGGGGGGAGGGACTGTGGGAGGTTGGCAGGCTGAGGGGAGGGGCCATGGGAGGTTGGCCAGCCACATGAAGTTGGCTGGCTGGGGGAGGGGTCACGGTAGGTTGGCTGTGGGAGCGCACTGACTACCAGGATGCAGTTCCTACATTGAGTGTCTGCCCCCTGGTGGTCAGTGTGCATCATAGCGACTGGTCAACCAGTCATTCCAGTCATTCGGTCATAACAGTCACTTAGGATTTTATATATATAGATATCATTGGCAAATATATTCTGTCATACAGTTGGTTCTCTTTTCATTTTGTTGATGGTTTTGGGGTTTTTTTTTTGCTGTGCAGAAGCTTTTTAGCTGGATGTAGTCTCATTTGTTTTTTTCCTGTTTCTCTTGGCAACAATATTATGAGAGGTGAGATTTTATTGCCTATGTCTTAGTCCAGGATTTTTATGGTTTCGTGACTCACATTTAAGTCCTGTATCCATTTTGAGTTTATTCTTGTATGTGGTGTAAGTTGGTGGTCTCCTTTCATTTTTTTGCATGTACCTGTCTAATTTTCCCAACACCATTTATTAAAGAGACTGTCTTTACTCCATTGTATGCTCTTGTCAATTATTAATTGGCCATAAAGGTGTGGGATGATTTCTGGGCTCTCTGTTCTGTTCCATTGATCTACATGCCTGTTTTTTTCTGTCAGTACCAGGCTGTTTTTAATGGCTTTGTAGTATAATTTGATATATGGTATTGTGATGCCTCCAACTTTGTTCTTCTTTCTCAAAATTGCTGCAGCTATTTTGGGTCTTTTTTGGTTCCATATAAATTTCTGGAATGTTTGTTCTAGATCTGTGAAATATGCCACTAGCATTTTAATAGGAATTCCATTGAATCTACTGATTGCTTTGGGTAGTATGGACATTTTAATTTTAATGATGTTAATTCTTCCCACCCATGGAACAAGGTATATGCATCCACTTATTTGTATCTTCCTCAATTTCTCTCTTCAATGTCCTACCATTTTCCAAGTGCAGGTCTTTTACCTCCGTGGTTAAATTTACTCCTAGGGACCTTATTTGTTGTTGTTGTTGTTGTTGTTGCTGTTGTTGTTGTTGTAATGGTAAATGGGATTGTTTTCTTAGTTTCTTTTTCTGATAGTTCATTATTGGTGTATAAAAATGGGAAATGAAACATTTTAAAAAGGATATTTTATTGGTGCCTTTAAATTCACTGATGAGTAAAAAGGGGATTACTAGGGACTAAAATAGCATGCTTTCTGTGGAGTCATTTTGAATGATTTTTAAATGTGTCACCTAGCTGTAGCTCCAATCATTACCATCTGAACTTTTTATCATGAGTAATATCATTACACTAAAAGTCATTATACCTCCACAGGCACATGCTAATTATGTACAAAAAGCACAGCTGATAATACTTTGTATTTTCTTTTTAAGATTGAGCTATTTTTAAATGTTCAGAATACGAAATTCCTTTGTGTATTTTAATGTAGTGGGAAATCAAAAACATCTACGGGCATTTAATAGTTTGTGTCTAAGAAATGTTTTTGAAGTTCTTATGCTTTATGTGCATTTCTGGCTTCTCATGGGTGTAAAAAAAAATCTATGCATTACTGTCCAATGAATTTTCTTCCCAGTTTCTCTTTCTTAGAAAAAAGGAAAAGAATTTATTTCACATGTATTGATTTGAACAATCTGCTTAAAGACTGCTGTATATGTTTGATCTCATTGACAAGACAAAAATCATATTTTAGTAAAATATGATAAA